AAATGAATGTAAAGGTAAAGGTAAAAGCATAATACCTTATTACAATACACAGTAGGTTGTGGACAAATGAATCTAAAGATAACATAAAAAAATTACATGTTAAAACAGCAAGGGCAAAAAGGCCTTCTTGAAGCTTTTGAGGAAGTGTTACCAAATGTTTCTCACAGATTTTTGTGCGCGGAACTTGCACAATAATTTCAACAAGGCTGGGTTCCCTGGTCATACCTTAAAAGATGCTTTTTGGGAAGCGGCTAGAGAAACAACTGTTGAAGCATTTAATGTATGTATGTTAAAGATACTTGAATTGAATAAAGAAGCGCATGAATGACTTTCTACTAAGTTACCTAGAGAATGGTCCAGATCTCACTTCTCACCACTTTCTAAGTGCGATATGCTGTTAAACAATGTGTGTGAGGTCTTCAATAGTTTGATTCTTGATGCTAGGGCTTCGGGTGATATTTGTCCAACTATAAAAAAGAAATTGCATAGAAACATGAAGGGAGCTTCTGGTTATATTCCTTGAAAAGCCGACTCATGGAATTATGAGATCCTAGGGTCTACTGATATTGACACTTGTACTATGGACTTGTATAACAAGATATGTAGCTGTAGAAAATGGGAATTATCAGGGATACCTTGCAAACATGCTATTTGTGCTATATGGATGGAAAAAAATGAGATTGTAGACTATGTTCACGACTGCTACAAGGTTGAGACATACAGGAAAGTATATACAACCATATTCCCTATGAATGGGCAAGGACCTAAATCATCTAATCCGAAACTATTGCCACCTTCTTATTTGAAAAAGAAGAAAGGAAAGAAACAAAGATTAAGAAAGAAAGAAGTGGATGAGCCTGGAGCCTCGAGGACTAGGATAAAAAGAAAAGAAAAATCAGTTGATTATAGCAAGTGTGGTAGACCTGGCCACAACAAAAGAACTTGCTCTTTATATAATGTTGTTGAACCAGAACCAACAAACTACACTTCATTTTTGGACTCTATTATGGTCGAGAACACAACAAATTGGACGCAAGAATCTGTCCCTTTTCGTGACAAACTTCCGGTGAGATGCATATATCAATAATGTTTGTCTTACTTCATTGTAATGAAATTCATATATCTTAAGGTCCTCTTATTCCTTTTTCATGTTAGAAGAGGCCAGTAGCATGAATGTGCCAAATTGCATAGCATCGTAGATGTGACAGTCGTTTCCATTTTGTAATGACAGGATTTATTTTGGAATGATGCAAGTTCATTTTGTAATGTGATGACTTCTAAGCGAATTAAGTTCATTTCGTATGACTCAATTATGAAATTTTCAGACTTTAATTATTTACAAGTTTCAACTTTTGGCATTTGGTATTTCTGTAATTAGTTTTCTCCGTTTTGCACTTAATTTTCAGTTTCTGCACCATAATTTATTGCAATCTGTACTTTTTCTGCATTCTGTGCATATTTTTTTAGTTTCTGCATACATTTCAATTCCTGCACTATAATTATCTAGATTCTGCACTTACATTTCAGACTTTTGGGATTTTACTGAGTTGTTGTTGTTGTTGTTGCACTTACATTTCAGATTCTGCACTTAAATTTTAGTTTCTGCACACTGCACTATATTTTTCTTGATTCTGCACTTACATTTCAGTTTCTGCACAACAATATATTGCATTCTGCACACAGGTTTTAATTTCTGCACACCAAAATCTGCATTTCCATTAATTTCTGCATACATTTTTCAATTTCTACACACCAAAACTGCACATTATTAAGTTTCCGCAGACAAATCTGCATATTGTTCAGTTTTTGCACGCGATTCACGAGAAAGAGATCGGAGAAAATCAAAGACGAATAAAGATGCAACACACTTTTGTTAAGAATGAAGAGCTCGCTGGAGTTGGAGGCTCTCCCTTCTGGGAAAAAGAAAAAGTCACGTGAGAATATTAGAATCTGTTAAATATGGATGAAAATTTAACAGAGGGATGTTTTTGGTCAATTTTTGGTAAACTTAAAGGATATCTTAGGTTAAGTGAAACATTATAAGGATGTAGTGAAAGTTTGGGTGAAACAAGAGGGATGATTTTGGTCAAATTCTCTCCACATGCACATAGGAAGAACATACTTCTCAGTTCTCACATGTCTAACCATGTTGAACCTGGTAAGAGTTCAACTGATTTGCTCAAACATGCCACAGATTGGTCCAACAGTTTCTAACCGACGACATAGTCATGAAGCTGAAAACTTTAATAAGCAATGACTAAAATATCTAGCTAGTTCTCTTCACTTGTTTCACAAAAGATATTTTAGCTAGAATATAATTTAGCCAGAGATATTAAGAATCTTGTCTAGGATAGAAGCCTTTCACTACTCGTGCTATAATATAGTGACAACACAAAGAATAGTCTTCAGGGAACTTCCGTTTCTTTTGATACATCAAATATCATATCATCTCTAAGAAGATGCTTTTCATATACACCTAAGAACATGTTGTCGTTAAATGTAACAAAGGATACATTTTGTGTTTGATTTTAGTATACTTTCTTTTTCCATTCAATGTACCTTTGGTTCCTACCCTACCAAATGGTCCACCCGATTTCTGCTAAGTGATATTCCAAGTCTTTGCTGCTCTTTTGGTAAGGCGTCTTCTGCTCTAACACAGAAGAAATTCTTTTGTTAGTTCTTGAGTATTGAGTGTTAAATGAGGAAAGGTCTTTATGAGTTTTAACCTTCAGATCTCAAATACCAATTACAAGTTGAATGAAAAGAGCTTATATGTGTCTAAGTAAAATGATGGTCGTGGTCGTGGCAGAAGCAGAATCTTCGGGGAGGGAGGGAAAAGCCATTAGAATTTAGACTATTACTCTTTGACTTGGTAAAGAACTACCTCCTTTCAACAAAAACTTGTTAGCAAAAAACAGTTCCTTCTGACAGTTGGGAGGCTTTTGTAATGTACTGAACACGTTTATTTATTTATTTAGGGATGAAAAGATAAAGGTTTTATTAATGAGTACCTAGAAGTACTAGAAATAATGTAATGTACTGAACACCTAAGTTTTTGGAGCCGTGCTGCTTAATCCAAAGGCGAAGCTTAGCACCGTTAAGATGCAGATCCACCGCTCACTGGATTGCGCATTTGAGGTTTTGACAAGCGTGAAAATCCAAAACTAGGTCTAGACGGTCTCACATTGATGTACTTCAGATCCTAGGCAGATCCTAATAAGAGCCCAAATCCCAATTATTTTTACAAAAACTTGGAGAAGAAAATACTAACCAAAGCATCAAATTCTTTGGAGGTAAACAGACACATTCTAATGACTTTTTTCCTGAGTTACTTATTAGAACTCTATATATAAATAAGGAAGTACTAGTGGCAAAGAAAACCATGTCGTCCATAACTTTAAAATTCAAACTGCCAAGCTACAGCAGATTAGGGTCTTGCATTCACAAGTTTAATAATTCCAGAGACAATGTTCCGGAGCATGCATGATACGATCCGAGATAAACAAAACAGCAGAATATAAAAATAACAATAACTAAAGCAAAACTAATGATAGGTTTAATTAAGATAATCAAAAGTAGTATGAATAAGGAAATATTGAAGAAAATCTAGAATCCTAAGTGAGGTCTCAAGCAACAATCGAAAAATTATATGATCGCCTCCAAAGAACGACAAATTAGAACCCCAGATATAAAGAAAGGAGAAGAAGATTACCCTCAAGAACCCAAGTCTTGAAAACAGGTAATCCAATGTCGAACTCGAACCAAGAGGTTCCAAATCTCTCTCAAGAGTTTTCTTATGTCAATATACTAAGTGGCTAATGAAATAACCCTAGCCTGTTATAAATACCCAATGGGTAAAATAAGAAAAGTTTCAAAGTTAATTTCCCAAAAACTCTCGCCAGGCCAAACCGTAGCCCCAACCGTAACACACAGCTGAACCGTGACGAATTCCAGAAGCTTATTTTCTTCAGCTCTTCAGGCCCATCTTGAACTGTAGCCAACGGTTGTTGAAACCGTGTCACACGGTTTGACTTGGGGTCTTGATTCTTCAATTCTCAAGACTCCAAACATGGTATTCTTTGCATGAATCCTCCAAGTAACTCTCCAAACATCTTCTAGTCAATTGTTGAAGATCATGCAGCTCTGCAGCGTGCATCCCTTGGACGTTCTTGGACTTGGAGCGGGTCAACGGTCCACCAGATAATTTGGGATCATTCTCAATATTCTCCGTTTTGCCCGGAGTATCCAGGATCATATCAACGCATATGTTTACCCAAAAACATCATAAGCAAAAAATCCTTGAATCTGATTCTGATCACAGTTGAGAAAAGTTTGTTACTTTATAGGATCGGATTTCTACCTTCTAGTCGTGGTAACTCTGGCTGCAATTAGTTTAAATTTATATTTTAGTTCAAAAATACCAACGGTCCATTTGGATGAAGATATTGGGATTTAATAGGTGATAGCAAAATTTATAGATCCAAATTTTAAGATTCCAAATGACATATTTCAAGTGTCATTAGAAATGAATACAAAATAATCGCTAGATGGATGTATTTGAGTTTATAGTTTACATTTTAATTTTCTTAGGTACGTGATTCAGTAAGCTAAAGATGCTACGGAAAAAGAAAAAAAAAAGGGGGGGGGGGAGCCCGATGCACAAAGCATCCCGCGTTCACGCAGGGTCTAGGGAAGGGCCGCATCCCAAGGGGTGGTGTGATGTAGATAGCCTAACCCTAATGCAAGCATAAGTGGTTGCTTCCACGGCTCGAACCCCATGACCTATAGCTAAAGATGCTACGAAATAGTGGCCAAATCACTCTATCCAACTGATCCTAAAAAGATGTGTGAACAGTCTTCACCTGTGTGAAATGGTCTTACAAGGCTTGAGTACCACCCAAAGACACAAACCTCACTCCATCAGTTACTCTAGATATTGGAGACTGTATGATATTCTAAAATTTAAAAGCAATTAGCATAAGCACAAGTACTGTAGTGAATGAATGCATGAAAGCATAACATCAATAAGATCATTCAATTATAAAATCCTAAACATTTCAAAGAACCTGTATGTACAAAAATTGTATGCTTATTACCGCTTATTTCAACATGAAGCAAGCAAGTTAGAAAAAGCAAGAATATTATTCAGCTTTGGCATTACCTACAGGCTAGCCTAGACAACATGATCAACCAGTTTGTCTGCGTTCGAACCCTGTTCCAGGGTCATCATCACAGGGATAGACATCTAGTCCAGTGACAATAGCAGCTGGTGGACCTCTCCGGCACCTTTGCTCCATTTCCTGAACCTTTTCTGGGCTTCCAGAAAACAAAGCCTCCACAGATCCATCTCTCCGATTTCGCACCCAACCCTTCAATCCCAACTCCTTAGCATTCTCCACAGTCCAGTCCCTGTAAAACACCCCTTGGACTCTCCCCTTAATCACAGTTCTCACCTGTAGCAACAAACACATAAATAACCAAAGTACAGAAAATATCATACACCCATTACTGGAGAAGAGGCTTAAAGTATCATCTTTTTTTAAAGTACCATCTTTTTTAAATGAAAATAGCAGCTAGCCTGCAGCCACAGCACACGAATACCCAAAACCAAATAACCAAACAGCCATAAACAAAAAATAGCTAAAAGTTTCATCTTTTTCTTTTTTAGATTGTCAACTGAAAATTCCTTGGTATATGTTATTTGTTGATAATATTGTGCTAATTGACAAAAATAGCGAGGGTGTCAAGCTGGAACTATGGAGAAGCACTCTAGAGAATAAGGATTGTAGGATAAGTAGATGTAAGACTGAATATATGCATTGCAAGTTCAGTCAACATAAGAAGAGTGATATTCAGGTGAAATTGCTATAATTCAGATATTTAGGCTCGTCCCCAGAGAACGGAATTATAGATAAAGATGTTACACATAGAATCAAAATCGGATGGTTGAAATGGAGAAGTGCTACAGGGTGTTATGTGATAGAAGGATGCCTACAAAAGTGAAAAGAAAGGTCGATAGAACAATTATAAGACCAATAATACTATATAGGAATGAATGTTGGACCGCTAAAGGTCAACATATCTACAAGACGAAGAATGTCGCCAAAATAGCTCAAAATTTCATCTCTTTTAACAGTTTCAAATGAAAATCCCAGTTAACCTACATCCACTTCACACAAACACCTTAAACCCAGAAATAATCAAATAGACATTACCCAATAAATGCTCATAACTTCATCTTTCTCTAGGAATTTCAATTGAAAATCAAAACAGTTCAATATTCACAGCACACAATTAATCAAAACCCAGGAATAATCAAACACCCGTTACCGGGAACAAGCTCAAAATCTCATCTTGTTAAATCGATAATCACAGCTAACATTTAGCAACACTGAAATAATCAATCACACATTATGTGTGTGTGTGTGTGTGTGTGTGTGTGTGTGGTGGGG